TGGGTCAATGATTCTCTCTCATTGTTGATGTTTCGATCGTTCTCTCCCTTTCCCTTCCTCTCTGAAATCAATAAAGAAATAAATTTTAAAAAAATGGATATATGCACCCTTATGTCCATAGCAGCACAATTTACAATAGATTTGGAAACAACCTAAGTGCCCATCAGCAGATGAGTGGATTAAAAAACTGTGGTACATCTACACAATGGACTGCTATGCCACTATAAAATAGAAGGAACTTTTACCATTTGCAACAGCATGGATGGAACTGGACAACATTATGCTAAACGAAATAAGCCAGTCAGAGAAAGATAACTATCACATGATCTCACTCATATGTGGGATATAATGATCAACATAACTGATGAACAAAAATAGTTCCAGAGACAAGGGGCATGGGATGGGGGTTGTTAGGGATCAACCAAAAGACTTGATGCATGCATATTAGCATAACCAATGGACACAGACACTGGGGCGGTTGGGGCTTCCCCTCGGGTGTCGGGGGGGGCGGTGAGAGGGATCAATGGGGAAAAAGGAGACATATGTAATACTTTAAACAATAAAAATAAATAAATAAATAAATAAATAATAAATAATAAATATGGTGGTGGGACATTTGACTTTGGGTGATGAACACATACATATCTTGTAACATAGAAACCCACACCTAAAACCTATATGATCATATTAACCAGTGTCACCCCAATACATTTAATAGAAAGGGAAATAAAGCGTATTGAAATTCCGAGTGTGACCTCATCATTTAGGCCAGCCCAGGGACTGCCCATTAGTCTGTGACTTATTCTTGGGTCTGGGCGAAGGCTGATGCTTTCCTGTGTAATGTGGAGTGTTTCTCAGTGTCCATCCCCACTGTGTTCACAGCACTTCTGCTGCGGTTGTTCCCCTGAGAATGTCCAGGGGTGAGTTCTTCAACTCCCTCCCAGTGAAGACCTTGTCCTAGATGTGCTGAGCGTATAGCTTCAAACGGGAGTAGCCCAGCGCTCCTAGGGAGAACAGAGCTTGCAGGGCCTGCTGTTTCAGAGCCACTGCATCCTAGGATCCTCCAGAGTCCAGCCCTGTGCTCATCTGGCCCTGCCCAGATGTGACTCCTGACTCTCAAGGTGGCCTCTTCCAAGAAGGGGACTGTGAGCCTGTGTGGGGCCTGGTGACCTGTCACCCAGGCCGGAGGGCTACAGATATCACCTTTTGTGACAATCCTCAAAACTAGATTGCCCACTCGGAACAAAGCAGTCAAATGGCTGTTCTGGTGGCACCTTTAGAGCTCTATTTCCTCCAGGAGAGCAAGAGGACCATGGAGGAGGTGAGGAGTCACATGACCTAGAAAGAGAGGAAGTTCCACTCTCTCAAAGGAGCAAAAGTGGAGGCAAAAGCCCCCTTGGAGGCTTGGAACTCCTGCTGTTTATTATTTGTGGTCTCCCCGTGTGACTTTCCACACCCATCTGCTTATGTGGGGACAACAAGGCTGGCGCAGCCTAGCGGGAGATGCCTAGAGGACACTGGACAGACACCCTGATAAACAAAGGCAGTGGCTCCCTGGTAACTGCACACAGAAGCAAAGGGAGCTTGGCAGCAAGCCTCCGTGTGGACCGGCTGGAGACCCAGGCCTCTGTCTCCATTTCTGGAGCCTTCCCTAAATCCAACCTCTTCACCCTGGGGAAAGGCTGAGTACGAGGCAGGCTTTGGGCTCTGGCTCTCATATAGCCCACATTCTTCAAACCAGGAAGTGCTTAACTATTTGGCGAAGGCAGAATGTGATACTCCACGAAACAGTTTCACCTGGAAGGAGTGGGAGCATGTGCCCTGAGTGAGCTAGGTGGCTGCTCAGCTGTGTTCCTTCAGCAGGTGCAGAGACCGCGTGACACAGCCCCGCAACCACTGCCCTCCCCGCAGGAAGCTAGAAGCCCTCTGCACCGTGCCCTGTGAACACAGAGCCCACCTGGGAGGAGCGCGGGCAGTAGTCGGAGGGCCCGGGCTCAGGTGTGGTTCTGTGACCTTCCACAGTCAGGTCAACAACTCCCTGTTTTCTACTAGATCATTTTTTCGGTCCCATCAAGACTGATTGATGACATAGTCCCCAAAGCCAAGGCCCGCATAAACAACTCGCTTATACTCATACTCAGGCTTGGGAAGTTCAATCAAATCCTCAAACTTAAACGCCTGTGAGAGGACGCAGGTGTGCCTCTCATTGGACCAAGTCTCAGAAGAGCCCAGCCACTGGCCTTCCCAAGTGTGGGGTGGACGCTACACCTTTCCCCAAAGCTGAGAAGTAACAGGCCCAAGACAGCTCCTTTTTATTGTGAAGGCTTTCAGCATTCTCCCCAAACCCTCTCAGCTTCCTGAGCTCCACTGCAATCGCTCAGCTGGAGGCAGCCACCTCAGCCGGGGCTGTCCTGTCTGTGGCGGCTGCTGGCCCCACATTTGCCCTCGGAGGGAGGGGCCTGAACCCTGCGGCCAGCCACTGGATTTTCATTTCTTTTCCTACTACAGGTTCCAACTCTGCAGCAGAAGCACAACAATTAGCGCTCTGTTCTCCACACCAAGCAGGGAGCAGGTGTCCAGCAGAAAGGCTGCTTAGAGAGGAGGGTGAGGCAGGGGTGACTGGAAAGACGGCCCCGGGATGCCAGCAGCAGCCAGCCAGGCGGCCATACTCACCCTCTGCCGCACTTGGTACATGTTGTGCATCAGAAGGTCCCTCATGGACGCCACGTCTTCAGGGGAAAGCCTCTTGGTTCCCTGTGTCTGCTGGGCCCTGGGACCATTGGAGAAAGGCAGGCATTATTTTCCCATCTTGGCGAGGGAGACTGAAAGTATCATGGACTCGTGGGAGTTCCAGAAGCTTCTCAGCAGCCGTGAGAGGGCATCGCATGTCTTGACTCACACTTTGAAAATAGTTTCTTTCTATGCCTTTGAGCTTTTATGTTGAAAATATAACTCATTTTACTCCCTTCATATCTGCTATGATCAAATATGTTTGTAAAATACAAAGTCAATGATTGGAAAATAAAAATTTTAAAAATACTATAAAATGCAAACCGAATATTTTACTATTCGATTCAACAGCAATAAGACTCCCCAGTCAAGGCTGTTCTTGACCTGACCTGTGCTTGTTGTGGGTGTGAGCCACACTCGTGGGCAGCGCACTGAGCTAAGAGCTTTACCATGTTATGCGTGCCTTTATGAATACCTCTACCTTGGGATTGTTCCTTTGGGAATTTTATCTTCAGTTAAAGGACATTGTAAGAAACTAGTATCATATTTTACAAGGAGAATTGGGACGTTTTCATCATGAAAAAGCCATCCCAGTCCTGAGACACTGGGACTCTGTGAGATTCTTGAAACAGTTGACTGCTCACTGCCTCCGCACAGACCAGATGCCCACAGTTTCCTTCATCCTGAGTCCCCCCGGCCACCGCCCTGAGGGCTCAAAAACCAAGTCATGCTCAGGTCAGCCTCAATGCACAATTGTCCTCTGAGGGTTTCCAAGTCATGACATCACATTGAGAAATGTATCTGATTTCAGTCATTTGAATTTAGGGGAGGTAATTTCTATTACTATTACACAAGTAATGTATGTTCACTGCAGAACATAAGAACTAAAAAGAGAGCACTAAAGGAATTAAACCTCTCTGCTAATACTATTTCCTCCTGTTTTAATACTATTACCTTAACACTTGGTATAAACCCTTACAGAGTTTTGACTTCTTTTTCCCCTCTCTGGCTGCAGCTCTTCTGAATGTGCTAACAGCTGCTTGCAAAGCAAGTCTTAGGGTAATTGATCACAGAGGTGAGTAGTTACTAGTTTCCAAACAGGCCACTTTCAAACAATGTTCCCAAGCATTGGTAGCTATCTATCTATATATAAAAGCCTAAGTGATCGTTTGACTGGCAGCTATGACAAATACTGACCACCAAGGGGCAGATGCTCAAGCACAGGCATGGAAACATGAAACAGACTGATAAATCTCAGACAGAAGAGGGTAGGGGGAGGGCAGGAAAAGATTATCCAAAGGTCTTATGTGCATACTAGAGACCTGGTGCACGAATTCTTGCACCGGTGGGGTCCCTTGGCCTGGCCTGCAGGGACTGGGCCGAAACTGGCAGTCTGACAAGGGGTCCTGAACTGTGAGAGGGCTCAGGCCAGGCCGAGGGACCCCATTCATGCACCGGGCCTCTAGTATAGCCATAAATAGCAAGGACGTCCTGGAAGTAATTTTCAATTGGTAAGAGTGTTAAAGATGTGACTACTGGCCATCACAGTATGCCAGGGTGTGCTGAGCAATGCTGTCTGCACACTAACTATTGCTCTTTCTACAGTATTGCTGAACCAGAGTTTCCACAGCTTAGCACTACAACTGTCAACACTATTGATATGCAGTTACCACCCTTGGTAAACTGAACACTATCATAAACACGTTTCAACTTAACTGTTTAAATGTCCTTCAAATAAAATTTATTCTGATTTAGATACACCCACACATTCCAACAATCTGAACACATTCCTGTGTTATGGTGGAAGTAATCTATTGCTAAGCAGAAAAAACAGCTAATCAAACGGTTCCATTTTCTGTGTATGCATCATAAAACAACCAAAGAGATAGAGTGGATCTAACTTGGCACACTCCTTGGTTTATAACTGACCACGTTAGGAGGGGCCAAGCGTAATTAAAAGTGAGTTCAGGCTGCCACTGGGTGTGTGGTACAGGCTCCAAGGCATCCTCTCTCACTCCTCTCATTCACCGCACTAAGCTGCAGCCACAAAGCGGTGCCGACGAGCTGCTAACTCGGGCCGGTGACACCGGGAGTTTTCCACATGCCACTCGATGAGCAGAATCGCCCCTGGAATACTGACATCACAAGCACAGGAGAGACACAACCCTTAGAAAAATGAAATGTTAACAATTTCTTGGTCAAAAAAAAGAAAAGCTGTAAACTGAAAGATCTTTGTCATTTGAACCTTCACTCATTATCCATAAAAGAATTCTCTGTCACCTTAAACAAAGGTTCTATGGAAATTCCATGGCTATTAAAATCAAATGGGCCCTGACTGGTTTTGCTTGGTGGATAGAGCATCGGCTCTCTCTCTCTCTCCCACTCTCTCCTCTTCCCTTCCACTCTCTCTAAAAATAAAAAATATCCTTGGGTGAGGATTAACAAACAAAAATTGAATGGGAAAGTATGAACCTAAATGTATTCAAACAAAAGGTTGACATTTCTCTTAACTTTTTAAAATGCTAGAATAATGTAAAAAGAGGCTTCAATTCCAAGTAATATAGATATAAAATCTGGTAGATGTTATATTCATGCCATAATATTAATTCCCCCCAAATGAAATATTATACCCTGGTTCATTTAGAAGAATCCATCCCCTTAATAGCTTTATGCACAAAATCCCTGGGAAATATGTTAAGATGCTAAAGGCCATGCTCACTGAGTGAACAATGTGCCCAACAGCGTGTGAGTGTGGCTGCCCCATGTCTGTTTCTCCCGTTACACTATTGGGGTGACCTTTAGGAAGGTCCCCAAGACAGCCAGCATTTAGAAGGAGTGAAGAGTGGTGGAGCAGGCCTGACTCCCCCACAAGGCTCCACTATAGAATGAAAATGGCATTGGGTCTTCATTCCAGAGTCTTTGGCATAAGAATGCACAAAGCTAAACTTATGCCTGTCAACATGTGATCAAATAAAAAACATTTAAATTACAATAATTTTATACTTTTTATAAATAACATTAAAATTATTTGGAAATTTTAAAATCTAATACTTTTAAGTTGTAGAGTTGTAGTTTGCTATGCCTATAAATTTATAAATATTTCAATAGCTCTAAAATATTAACCAAATAATTTTTAAAGCTTCCACAGTTTTAATCAATTTGAACCTCTATCCTCTGGTATTTCTAAGAGCTTACTACTCGCTGGTAAAATGAGATGCCTCACATTAAAATAATAATTCAAGGATATACTCTACCTATTCCATAGGATTGTTTTGAGGTTCATGTAAAACCAGAGAAAGCCCTGGAACCAACAGCAGTGCAGCATGCTGTGGACAGCTTCGGTGGGAGGTGCCCCTGAAGCCACAGGTTGCAAATCTAAGCCTCTTGTGGAACAATTGCTTAACTTCTAAAAAAAATACACGTGCATTTTGCTGTTTTCATTTTATGCAGAATAATAAAAAGTGAGCTGAACACACATTTCTTTTTCCTATTATTGTGAGAAGGTTTGTTTATTAAGAAATTAGCTGCTTTGATTTTTGGAGCGGAATTCCTTTTTGCTTGATGTCTGACATATTTCTGATGAGATCAAATAAATATAACTTCATTACTAAACTTGAATTACATATAAGTTTAAAAAGCCTCTCCACTGTTCGGGCAATAGATGGAAGCACTTGTCTCTCACCTAGAAGGTTTTCTTACCAATCTTGAGTCAAGGTTTTAAACCTGTCCAGAAAAAATCATAACCTCAAGAAGCTCCCCCCCTCCCCCCCCAAATAGCTGGCTTAGAATTCCTTCAGGCCAGAAGTAGGGGCAACTGTTTCTGCCAGAGCCATATAATATGGAGATTCAGGTTAAGTTTTAGCTCAAGGTAGGCTGATTGTCACTGAGATAAGCATTCCTAGACCAAGTGCTCACCTAACTGGTAAGCCAACCACAGGAGGAAGTCCCCAGGCCTAACCTGCCGGAGCCAGTCCAGCCTCCCGCTGTGCACTGGGTTAGCGCTCATCCTCCAGGGAGCAGGTCAGAGCCCCGGGGGGTTGTACCTCTGTACTCGCATAGCTCCAGGCTTTAGGATGATCGGTGTGTGACCTTTGACTTTATTAATATCACCTTCTGTGTTAATGTCATGACCCAGCTCCATGAGGGCAGGCCTGCGTCTGCTTTTACATAACAGGTGCCTGAGGAACAGGATTGGGCCCAAAGTGAGGCCCGGCCCGGGGGACACTGGCCTCTGGTAAGAGGGTGCCCCTCCCTACACCTGCCTCCACACCGCAGGTCAGCAATCAAACTAATGGGATTTGAATGCAGTTCGTTAGGAAATAAAGGTCTATGCAAAGAATCCCTGATGAATGAAGTATCAACCTCTTAAATAAGGACAGGATCGCTATTGCTCAGTGTTCTTTCTGCTTCAGGCTCTCACCAGGCTCAGCACGCCGCCAGTGCACACACTTGCTAGCCCTGCCTCAGTGAGCTTCTCTAGTTTCCTCGAAGCCATGTGATGGGCAGCACTGACACAAACTGAGCAACCTCAAAACAGTCGGCTGACAAATGGGCAGGCAACTTCTCCTGCTCACCCAGAGCTCACGCAAGGCCATGGAAGCGAGGCGAGGTGCTGCCCACTCACTAGGGGTGAGAAATAACACTCAGACGTTGGTGATAATCTGATTAACATCTATTCTTAGGTCTTATCTCAATGTGAGGACATTAGTGAAGATCATGATCAAATGTCCTTACCAACTGAGTAGATCAGGTGGAGGGGCTGGGGTTCCTCACCCGAAATAGATGTTCTGATTAATTTGCTCAAACCAGAAGGCATTTCGTAGAAGAAAACAGGGCATCTGGGGGTGGTGGTGAATTAATTCTTGTGATATTGAAGGGGTTCTTGTTAAACGTTAGAGAGTTAAAACAGCTTTAAAAAATATGGAATCCAGCTGGCGTGGCTCAGTGGTTGAGCGTCGACCTATGAACCAGGAGATTGTAGTTCAATTCCCAGTCAGGGCACATGCCCAGGTTGTGGGCTCGATCCCCAGGGTGGGGCATGCAGGAGGCAGCCACTCAATGATTCTCTCTCATCACTGATGTGTCTATCTCTTTCCCCCCCTCCCTTCCTCTCTGATATCACTAAAAGTATATAAAAAATATATTGAGCCAGCTCCTAGGATAATTGGTTTCCTGATGCTCCAATAGAAGCACCACGCTTCCAAGGCAATCTTCTTATAATGCTGGGCTTATGTGGGTCTTGCCCCTCCACACACAATGCCTCTCCACCAACTCCCTACAGCCCGGTCCACAGGAAGCCTGCCCCTCCCAATCCTACACCAAGCTAGTCTCACACAGACTCCAGGCAAATCTCACAATCTCACACGGATTTTTTAAATTTATTTTTGCCTTATACACAATGGTAAACACAGCTTTCTTTTAAAATAGTCCCCAACCATCACGCCTCTTGCTAGCTCCACTCATCCCCAAATCCAAGTTAGTGCCTCAGAATGCTGACTTCATACAAGAGAGGAAGGAAAATGACTGTGGGAGGAATGCAATGGCAGGATTAGCAGAATCAAGTGAATAGGGGTCAGACGGTAGAGACTTCTAATTAGAAAGAGAAAGCTTTGTAAAGTATGCTAGAATTCTAAAAATTCACTTGCTTCTCCCTTCCAAGGAAGGCAACTTTTGCTTGAAGGTAGTTCCAGGAATTAGGTGAAACAGATTGATCATGGCCAAGCCACAAAATGGCAAGATGGTCTGTTTTTCACAATCCTCCCTCATACGTGTACCTTTCCCTGCCCGGGATTACCCATAAGCAAAGCAACGAGGCATGCCCCTGGGAGCCCTGACACTGAAAGTCTCCATCAGTGTTGCCGGAGGGGAGGGGGCGGGGGTGGGTGAAAAAGGTGAAGGATTAAAAAGTACAAATTGGTAGTAGCAGCATAGTCACAGAGCTGTGAAGTACAACACAGGGAATGCAGTCAACAATATGATAGTATCTATGCATGGTGTCGGGGGCACTGGAAATATCGGGGGCCACTTTGTAAAGTATATGATTGTCTAACCACTATGCTGTGCACCTGAAACTCAGACCCATAATATTTAAAGTAAACTGTAATTGAAAAACATTTTACACATGAAAAACTAATCTAGACCAGAGCGCAACTGGTACTTACTGGTGGGGCCTGGAGAAGGCTGTGGCACTCAGGGCCCCGGTCTCCGCCATCTCAAGGACTTGCTTCATTTCCAGCTTCTTGTACAAGGAAACGATGCTGGACCTCGGCAGGTTCTTTCTGATTAGGATTTTCCGTAAATATTTGTGATCAAACTTCTTAAACCTGAAAATGAAAGCCAACCTTTGGAAATGTGTGCTTTCTGTGCATGTTGTGTAACGATGTATTTTTCTTAAAACAAACTACTACTTAACTTCAGTCTGAGAAACACCAGGACAGTGCCTGGAAGTTATAGCTGCTGAACACATTTAAAAAATTATAATCATAGAATTAATGCATTTTTTTTAAAATAAAGGAAGAATCAACAAAACAAAAGGAAGGGACAAGCCCAGACAAAAAGGGTGCGTAAGCGGGAGCAGGGAGGCCAGCCTAGCTCAGCTCCAATTGTAAGAGAAGGAATGAGGGGTTGAGGCTTTTGAACCAGTGTTTCACTCTAATAGCTCGTAACTGTGGCAGCTGTACTGACAGTAATACCGGCTTCTCCCACCCAGACCTGGTCAGTTTCTGTGGCCTGTGGCTGCAGTGGTTTTGCCCATTATGCTGAAGGTCACTTTCAATCCTGCCGGCTGACGGGGAGGGGAGAACCCACACACCTCGCAGGAGGAGAACCTGCTCTGTCGCTCCTGGCGGCCGGCTGTCATAGTGAACCCCTGGCAGGCTCATCAGACCGATCTGCATGTGTGTGTTGATGTGCGGAGCCAGCATTTGTTCGGAGTAGGAATGCTCCACACTTCCCATCACTTTATACTCAGAAGGCACTGATTGGCCTGCTCCACCTGCTGCCATTCCCTGTGCCAGCTGCCATGGGGCTTTCCGGACGCGCCCCCGGGGCCTTTCCTCCATGCCCTCCGCCTCCTCCTGGACACCAGCATCCCTTCCACGGGGTCCCCCCGCCCTTCTCTTGCTTTCCTGCCACTTGGAGATGGCTTCCCCACTTCGTCCTCAGCAGTGACCTCGCCCATGCCCATGGCTTTGGTTACCAAACACTCTGAAGACTCACAACCTTTACCTCTAGCCCCAATTTTCCTCTTAAACCTGAGACTAACTTCCAAAATGGGTGCCGAAATGCATTTGAGACATCTTACACAGATCTATTATTTAATCCTAAACATTGCTCCCTGACATTGTTATCTCCCTACACTCCCGACCTGGACGTCTGAGAGTCATTCTATTTCTCCTGCTTCTTTTACAGCCGGGCTCCCAGGCCCTTTGTCTTCTGGTCCCTTCCTCTAGATTCCTTCTAGCTTTGTTCACAGCTTCAGTGTAACCCTTGGAGGTTCCTATGCCATCAACATCCTTTCTAGAGAGTGAAACCCTGTCTCCTTACTTGTCTCGCACTTGGTAGTGGCTCCATTGCCCACACACATCTTCAATTCCCGCCTTCAAGTGATCCATCAGCTGCCAAACCAAATGCAAGAAAATGATTGGTGGTGAAAGGTTAACGCTAAAAGAGACACAGGGCATGCTGGTGCACCCCGGGCACAAAGGAGGCCATAATTTCTTGGAGCTCAGCCTCTTCTCTCACTCTGTTCATGCCACTGAAACATGTCATTCTTTTCATAGTGATTTAACTCCATTTCATGATTGAAAGACTCTGCAGAAAAAAGTTTGTTAATAATGCATATAGATGAGAGAACCCTGATACCCAAGGACCGAAGGTGCAGCCAGCATAGAGACTGATAGGAGGGGCAGAGACATGACCCACAGAGGGGAACTGAAGTCCCAGAGAGATATCTCAGCCGGTGGGGGGCAGGGGGGGAGGTGCCACTGAGAATTCTGGGATCTAATCTGGATCTGGGCTCCCCAGCAGAGAGCACCAAACTGAGGAAGGTATCCACATAACATCAAGCTGTGAAAAGCAGTGGGATGTTGTCTGCAAGGGAGTGGCAGCTGAAAGTTCAGGCACCCTCTTAATGGGCCAAGGCACAAACATTCCCTGTGGAGCCACCTACCTTGTGCTCTGGCAGACAGAAGGTGAAGTGGACTGGGACTGTGAGAGCAGAAGCCAGCACTGGGGACTCTGGGGACAGAGCTCAGAAGGCAGACACCCCAAGTCTCCTCGGCTCAGTCATTCCCTCACACAGCCACATAGACATCTGCCTTGCCTGGGGGGAAGACAGTTGACACACCCTATTGGAAAACACCTTGCCCTGAGGCCACTTAAGAGACTAAAAACAACAATTAGCCTCCAGGTAGAAGCAACTGCCCCACACTATTGAAACAAAAACCCTTGCCACACCTGCAAGAATCAAGATGAAACAGATGAAAAAAATAAAAAAATTATGTAAGAACCAAGAAGAAATGAAGAGCGATATAGCAGCAAAAAAAAAAAAAAAACACCACACCACTGAAAGTTTCAACAATAGACTAGGAGAAGCGGAGGACCGAATTAGCAAATTAGAAGACAGGGAAACAAAACACACCCAAACTGAACAGCAATTGGAGAAAAAAATTAAAAGACAGGAGGAGAGCCTAAGGGAGTTATGGGACAACATGAAACAAAACAACATGCAAATAATAGGGGTGCCAGAACAACAGAAAGAGGAACAGGGTTAGAAAACCTATTTGAAGAAATAATATCTGAAAACTTACCAGAGGTGGGGAAGAAAAATATCACACAAGCACAGAGTCCCAAACAAGGTGAACCCGAAAAGACCCACAACAAGACACATCATAATTACCATGGCAAATGTTCAGGACAAAGAGAGAATCTTACAGGCTGCAAGAGAGAGACGGAAAGTTACATTCAAGGGATCTCCCATTAGATTATCAAATGATTTCTCAACAGAAACACATCAGGCCAGAAAAGAATGGACAGAAA